GGGACCCGCTTCCCCTTTGCTGCAGCGGGGCGAGCCCTGTCCCTTCCCGCCTCTGCCGAGGCGGATTCCTGCTTTTCAGTCCGAGCCCCCCAAAACGGCCCTGATTTGGGGAATGGGGCGCGCCAGCGTGACGCTCTGGCCGGGAGATGAGCTCATCTTTCCCCAAACGCTCCTGTGGGGAGGAAGTTACTTGACCAACGCATGAGCTGGGGAATGACTAAGTGTAGGGTTTCTTTCATACCTGCTCTGCCTTCTCTCTTTTTCTCTCTCCCTGTCTCTTTAGGGTGGATTTGCCAAGTGTTATGAGATGACAGATTTGACAACAAATAAAGTGTATGCTGCCAAAATAATTCCTCACAGTCGAGTAGCAAAACCTCATCAAAGGGAAAAGGTGTGTGTGCGTGAATGCTTTTTTTCCTTTTTTTTCCCCTTTTTTATTTTATTTATTTTTTATTATTCCCTTCTCCCTTCCCTCAACGTGCTCTCTTTGTGTGCTGGGTTTCCCAGCCCTTTTGCCACAATTGCCGTGGTAGAGCTGGCTGTTCAGCCTTGTGGGCACAAGGCTAATGATGCTTTCTCCCTTGTCTGTCTTCAGATTGATAAAGAGATTGAGCTGCATAGAATGCTTAATCATAGACATGTCGTGCAGTTTTATCACTACTTTGAAGACAGAGAGAATATTTACATTCTTCTGGAGTACTGCAGTAGAAGGGTGAGCATCAACTGGAAATAATCCAGTGGCCTCTGGCCTCTAAGGCTAATTTAAATATGTAATGTGTAAAAGGTATTTTTATCGATTCTTTAGTTATCACTTCTCCATGCATTGATTTGCTTTTGCTTAAGGTGAATCGTGCCTGTGAATATTCACTGAATTGGTGCCTTTGTTTTCCCCCTGCAGTCGATGGCTCACATCCTAAAAGCCAGGAAGGTGTTGACGGAACCAGAAGTGCGATACTACCTCAGGCAGATTGTGTCAGGGCTCAAGTATCTTCATGAACAGGAAATCTTGCACAGAGACCTTAAACTAGGTAAGTTCTACTCCCCTCTGTCTTCAAAAGATACCTTTCCAGCGCTGTCTGCTTTGTACTGCTTCACCCTTGTAGGGTGATACCTTAATTGATAGAATCGGCTCAGTCTTTCTTTACTGTGGAAAATTAACCTGCTTAAGGGATGACATTAAATATTCCCATTTATTTTATTTTATTTTTTACACACATTAAAAAGTCCTGGCTAGGTCCTGACTTTGAGCAAAGTATGACTCGGCACCTGTGGCAAAGGCTTCCTTGCCTTATAAGAAAAGGACTGTCATTTGTTTCTGCTAGGTAACTTCTTCATTAATGAGAACATGGAACTGAAACTAGGTGACTTTGGCTTGGCAGCTAGACTGGAACCACTGGAGCACCGGAGGAGGTAGGAGCATCAAAAACATGTACAGGCTGGTAGTAAATGAGACCAAATTGATCTAGAAAGGGGAGAGGGAGATCCTGTCCCAGGGCAAAAGCAAGTTGCTCTCGGGATCAGAATTTCCCCTCCTAGAGAAGAGCTCAGTGTGCTTTGTGCTTTAGCTTTCCTCTGAGCTGTTGGACAGCAGCCAACGCCAGAGGCAGGGTATCCAACTGACTAATACTGCAGGAGCAGACTCATATCTGCACTATCAGGAAGACACCATGAAATGTGGTTGCACTATTGACATTCCTAGAACTCTTTTTTTGGGAGTCTCTGAGCTCTTTTACTTAACTGAGAGTGAAACTTGCCCTATGGAAAAACAAGATCTCTCCTTTCTTGCTGGGATACTAAGCAGTGCCTCTTTGATTTGCAGAACAATATGTGGCACACCAAATTACCTCTCTCCAGAAGTCCTCAACAAGCAAGGGCATGGCTGTGAATCTGATATTTGGGCCTTAGGCTGTGTAATGTAAGTACTTTGCTACATTTGAAATGAAATATTGCTGTTGCTGGCTTAAGGTTATAAATGTTCAAAGGGACTGCAGTACTGCATCGGTTTGCAGCCTTTTAAATATGGCTAGCCCAACTGCAGGAATTATCCTTGTTAAGAGATGGATAAAACCTTTTTGGTAGTTCTAGTTAAGTGTTGTGGGTGCGTGAATAAAATGTTTCCTCCCTTTTCAAATAGGTATACAATGCTGTTGGGAAGACCTCCATTTGAGACTACAAATCTCAAAGAAACCTACAGATGTATAAGGGAAGCAAGATATAGTCTGCCTTCATCTCTCCTTGCACCTGCAAAACATTTAATAGCTAGCATGCTGTCAAAAAATCCTGAAGACAGGCCCAGTTTAGATGATATAATTCGACACAACTTCTTACAGGTTTGTACTGTCTTGATATTCTGTCTGGGCAAAAAATATCTGCTCTAAAAGTGTACCCTGTGTCTAATTTAGTCTCTGAATCTCATTTTTCCAGGGCTTTACACCAGACAGACTCTCTGCTAGCTGTTGTCACACTGTTCCTGATTTCCATTTGTCAAGTCCTGCTAAAAATTTCTTCAAAAAAGCAGCTGCTGCTCTCTTTGGTGGTAAAAAGGATAAAGCAAGATACTTTGACATGTACAGTAAGTGGACTGTAACTACACTTACACTTACCCTTATGCCATAGTTATCATGCTAGTAATGTATAGCAATGAGATAGCAACAGAGCAGTTGTATTTATATCTTGAAGCTTTCTTTAAGATGGTAGGTGGTAGCCTGCAACCTACATCAGCACGTCTAAAGAAATACTTCTCATGGCATACGGGCAAGCTTGAAGCAATAGTGCCCTTTATTAGTCTACTGTGTGTTTTGGATTCTGGATGGTGTACTTTGTAGCCAGCTTGTTAGGTTTGCTGTAATGCAGGATCTTACAGTGCTTCCAGATGCAGCATTAAGTATTCTTTTTTTTCCACCTTTATTGCAGATAGACTAGCTAAAGAAGATGAAGAAATTTACAAGCTCAGGCATGATTTGAAGAAGACTTTGATAACCCCGCAGCCTCACAAACACAGAACATATGAGGTAAATGCAACTGCAGTTTGATTCAAATCCAATAAGTGGGGTGGGGTAGCTATAATTAAATTATATTGGACTTTGATATCCCAGCTGGATTTTACACAGCACAATCAAGCTCAAGTGATTAGCAGAGTTGCTTTTAAGAGAGCTTAACTGAGCTTCAGCAAGGTATGGTAGCCTTTGTAGGGAGACTATCAATTTTGTCTTTGGAGTAATTATAGTATCTCCCTAAAAGTCATTGTCATCTGTGTGGAAACTTGTTTGCTGGGTGCTCTCTCCCTATATTCCCAACACAAGGCTCCAGCTCACGATCAAATACGACTTCTTTATGAATAAATTGCTGAGATCCAACACTTATGTGCAGGCTTACACACAGCTATTCCTTCTCTAGGGTAAATATAGAATTTAATGCATATTAAATGCAAATTGAGGATCTAAGCAGTAGAAAGACCTGGCATCTTACTAAGCTTAGTCTAGTAGCAGCTCTTTGTACTTCCTGGGAAACACTAATACTATTTTTTTCTACAATGTATCACTTGTTGATAGCCAGGACAGGCATACAAAACTTTGTAAGCCTCGGTTTATTGTATTTGATACTTACTTGTCTGACGTCCCTTCTAGGAGAACCAACCTCCTAACACAACAGTAGCCAAGCCAGGAATGTTATCGGAGACAAAGCAGACCGGAGATGCCATTCGGATGATAGTCAGAGGAACTTTGGGAAGCTACAGCAGTAGTAGTGAATGTAAGTGCAGCAAAATTTACCATAGCATCTCTAATCCTAAACCTCACTTTTTAACATTCTTCATGTGTCAGATGTAGAAGCATGAAACAAGCAAGTACTTTCTCTACTTTCTCTTGCCATGTTGATACTCTTAAGTTCTATAACCAGGATTTTGGAATAGCTAAAACTGGAAAGCCATCAAGGCTAGATAACTAAATTGCACTTTTAAGAAAAAGGTTTAGAGAGACTCTGCTGTCTCTGTGGCCTGGCCCATCTAACCATCCTTCTTTCAGGCCTGGAAGACAGTACCATGGGGAGTGTTGCTGATACTGTGGCAAGGGTATTGCGAGGATGCCTAGAGAACATGCCAGAAGCAGACAGCATTCCTAAGGAGCAGCTAACAGCATCCTTCCAGTGGGTTACAAAGTGGGTGGACTATTCTAACAAGTATGGCTTTGGGTACCAGCTGTCGGATCACACTGTCAGTGTCCTCTTCAACAACGGGGCACACATGAGCCTTCTGCCAGACAAAAAGTAGGTACTTTGGAATTATTACAGAACTGATAATGCCCTATGGCAGTTTATACTTGAAATGCTTGAATCTCCCCTCTAACTCCCTTATTCTTTTTCTTCCCTTGCAGGACAGTCCACTATTATGCTGAGCTAGGCCAGTGCTCTGTCTTCTCAGCCACAGATGCTCCCGAGCAGTTCATTAGCCAAGTAACAGTTCTGAAGTATTTCTCTCACTACATGGAAGAGAATCTCATGGATGTACGTACAGCACAGTCTCCATTTCAAGGTGTAGAACTGGAACTTGAGCCATATGTGAGCTGAATGCTAAACACAGCATCTGTTTCCTTTCCTAGGGAGGAGATCTGCCCAGCCTCACAGATGTTTGTAGGCCCAGACTTTACCTCTTACAGTGGCTTAAATCTGATAAAGCATTAATGATGCTCTTCAATGATGGCACACTTCAGGTAAGCTTATAGCATATATCTGAGAAAGTGTTTCTGAAATAACACTGAACAAAATGAGATTGGGGCTTTTATTTACAATTCCTAAATATAAGCATGAGAAACTGAGAGGAGAAAGTATACAAACAGGAGCTCTCTTCTCTTTGCAGGTCAACTTCTATCATGATCATACAAAAATCATCATTTGCAATCAGAGTGAGGAGTACCTCCTTACCTACATCAATGAGGACAGGATATCCACAACGTTTTGTCTGACAACTCTTCTGGTTTCTGGATGCTTGTTGGAACTAAAACACAGAATGGAATATGCTCTGAACATGCTGCTGCAGAGATGTAACTGAAGGGACTGGCTCTGTTTAAAGCAAAAGGACCCTCTTCTCCACTGTGAAAGCTACAGTGGAGATGGAGCAACTAGTATGTTGATGATGGATGTGTGGTGGTACAAAACCTTGACCGTCATGGTGTGCTGGGCACACTGCTATTAGACAGAAGCCTAAAGCTACTGTTGGACTAAAAGGGTGTGACAAGGAGTTCTTCAGGCCATAGTTTTCCTTGCTTCGTGTGTGTGTGTGTTAAAGATCTTTGGCTCAAATTTAGCAGAGTATGACTGCTTGCTCTGTAAGGGAGCATTTCTGATGGAGTTAAACTGTGAATACACATCTGGAATGGGAGGGAAGAGAGCTCCGTTGTTGTGGAATAGCTGTAAGAAGCAGCTCTACCTGCTTAACTGTGAACTATGGTCATATTCCCCCCCCCATTATTTTTCAAGAACTACCCACACTTGTGGCTGGGGAAGTGCATTCCTTGTTATTTTTTCATTTATTTATTACAGCCTAAAGTGAAGTATTTATTACTTTTTTTGGACCTTGATATTTTAAATCTGTTGGCAATAAACACAATGGAAAATCTGAGGCACTAAACTCCTTTTTTTTTTTTTTTTTTTTTTTTTTTTTTTTTGGAATACAGTTTAGTATGTGATAACTGGAGCTGTGTAACTTTCTTCCTGTTATTCCCTATAAGCAATGCTTCTATTCACCAACGAACCAACCTCTCCCACCATTTCTATACTGGAATGACTTATCCCTATATGTCACACATTCTTAGGCACCCTGCCTTTCCCATGGGCTTTAGTGTATAGTTTGCCCCTCTGTGCAATAACCTTGCAAATAAGAGTACAGTTATACTAAGTCCTAAAGTGAGCACAATGCTATGCCACTAGAGTTGAATTACTGAGCCTTTATCACTTAGTATAGGTAATTACTGAGCCTTTATCACTTAGTATAGGTAATGTCTCCTTGGAGTTAAGCTTATTTGCTCTCTTTGGTGCCTATACTTTGCATAGCCCCTGGATCTGTATAAATACAGGGTAGTCTTCAAGCAACAACTTGTTGCTTGCTGATACCACAGCAGCCTAAATAAATTATATTTATTTGAATTAATCCTCATATAACTGCCATCAATTGCATCCCTTGCCATCATTTTTTCAAAGTAGCTTAATCCAAGGTCCAGGCAGTCAATAAAATTAAGCTCAGACTAAACAAAATACAGCTGCTAAGTCAAAATAAGGAGCAGAGCTGTTATTCATGACTTGCTTCATCTTGCAGGCAAGTTTGTATAAATGTGATTGTTTTCCTTTTATCAACTACCACACATTAGCTAATATTTATTTACTTCAGTTGAGACACAAAGACCTAATTGAGTTCATCAGATAGATTCATTAATGTGAGTCTAGGCAGTCCTATGAAATTAAATACATGTGTGATACAGTGAGCAGAATTCAGCTCCCCAGCTGTCTACTTTCTTTAAGGAAAAATGATTTTATTCCTGGGAGGCAGTGACTTGCCTCATTCTGCTGCATATGTACCATCACTGTCAAGCTCTTTTATAGAGTAAGGTCTCACTTTTAATGACACCAGTAAGCACACACTTTCTGTGTATTTGAAACACAAAAAATATTTGAGCTATAATAATCTCTTCAAAAACAGTTCTTTGTTAGAATGTCTATGTGCTGGAGAAAGTATGAACCTTTACTTCAGTTGCTACAATTTCTCTTGAGTATTAAATCATCCTTCTATGGCTGAAATTCAGCCTAGTGTAAGCCAGGACCCTGCCTGACCTCAAGTCTGAGATGTTTAGAAGTGGATGTTAGGCCTTAAATTCTATTGTAGGATGATACCTGGCTGCAGACCTCATTCAAACAAGGTTAAGTGGTGCAAGTTTATTTGTATGCAATGTGTTTGTGTGGTACCCACATGCTTGATGCTTTCTAAGACCTTTATCTTTCTGTTTAGTGCCCCGTAGCCTTACTTCACTTTTTATTTTTTTATTTTTTTATTTTTTTATTTTTTTATTTTTTAATTTTTTAATTTTTTATTTTTTTATTTTTTTATTTTTTTATTTTTAATTGCAAAATATGAGAGGTTGTTCAGTGAGTTAAGGAGAAATGTCCATTTTAAAGTACACTACCTTAGCCCTGGCCTTTTTCAGCCCAAGGAGGGAAAGCTGCTTTAGAACTTGTAATACAAGAGCTTGTATCTAGAACAAAGGTTCTCAAATTCTTTCCCAGGGTGGAACCTCTCATAAATAAGACACTATATAGTGCACTAAGTGACCTGCTTTACTCAATTACATACCACCCCTGTTGCGATTCTACACACAGACCAATTATTAGAAGAGCTGGTATACTCTTCTGCATAGCCAGCGTCTTCCTTTCTCTTGCACAAAGGTTACATGTTCTGGATTTTATTTTCTGCTTCTCAGACAGGGATTCTATTTTATTCAATTTAAGAGAGCAAATACAGCATAAGCAAAAGCATCTCTTCTTAAACATTAATGTAGGGATTAAGGGACTAGGTGAAAGCTGGCGTGTAAGGTTGGGACATAGGCATGAGTGACTGAGAAATGAATTTGTCAAGAAAAAAATAAAAACATGTGAAATGAATTTGTCAAGAACAACAACAAAAAAAACCATATTGTTGTGAGTATCAAAACATCCCTTATAAAATCTTTAAATATATTTTGGTAAATATGCCTATGTACACACACATCCCACTGCACTAACCTGCCAGTAGCAAGGAAATAATTGAACTAGGTCATCCTTTAATGTTGACATAATGCATTACCCAGCGAGGCCACTAGTTGTTCAGTGTTCTGAGGCATTCTGTAATTCACTTAAGGGTTCTGAAATTGGAATTTGGAATAATAGAATATAAAGATCTATGTAATTTAGTGTTAGGTTGGAAACAATACTGATTTGAAAGATTCTAGCATAGCCGTATAGAATTAGGCCAGGTCTGGAACTATTACAGCTATTCTCTGTCATGAAATCACAGAAAAAATATTTTACATTGTATCATATAGAGGTGATCTGAATTTTATTTAAAGAAAACATCTTAAATTGGTACAAAGGGGACATAAAAAATGTTTTTAAAAGTCCACAATACTTGCACAAAGACATAAATGTTCAAAACTAGCCTACACTAAGAGTTACTAAAAGCTGTTTCTTCAGGTTTAAAAAAGCAAGGATCTCAAGCAGAGGTGGACAAAAACCAGTGCAAGGTCCTTGTAACCCAAACCTTCCCCATCCACAGCCACAAGCATGCAAGGCACTGCCTCACCAAGCCTTCCCGTGACTTCAACCCAGCCTCTGTAGTCCTTCCAGCAGAGAACAAGCCCCATCATCCTCCTGGCCTATTAGATTTGGTTCAGAGAAATACCTGCATTCTGACTGTCGATATTGAACAGTTTGTCCAGATTCAAGTTCTTTTTAATTCATCCACTTCTGTCTAAAATAAAAAGTTTTAGCCTTGTTCCATAGCGTATTTAGTGCCTTACTACTATAATTACTGCTAATGATAATCTTAGCTAATCCTTTTTCCCTTCCTAAAGATCTCATTTCTAACCTCTCTCTGATTTTTTGTTCTCTTTTCTCACCCCAGAGAATAAACATTAGGGTTATTTAATTATTTACATGGATTTATGATCTTTGGGGCAGATAACCTATAGCACAATTGGGTTTTCTCAAAGAAGTGCTACAGGAATTCAAATAATCCCATTTAAAACCTGAACAATTTGAACATTGTTCCTATGGACCATATTTTTGAAGGACTCACATCACAGTATTTCAATACAAATGATCAACTCAAGGCCAACACTGTTAACAAGATGAAGAAAAGGAGCTTTGAGGTCACCTTTTAAGTCTTACTGCAGACTTAAGAAGACTACACCTGCTAAAACTCATGTTTCAAACACTTATTTTATGGAAACAAGCATTAGAATCAAATTCACAGGCAAACTCTGGCTACATTAACATTACAGTAAAATTCTGCATATGGTCTGATATTAAAAGTGGTCTCTTTATAATAATAAATTATCCCTTTTTTCTTATTTATTATAAATAAAGAGGTTGAAGGGTTTGAAGGAAGTTTATGGGTTGGGATTGGCGTTTATGGAGGGGAGACAGGCAAGGCATGTGTAGTGGTACTGGCAGGTCTGAAACATCTTTTTCCTCTCTCTTGAAAAATAGATGTGTATAATTCTGAAATTACTAGCAGCTGAGTTCAGGAAAGAGGAATAGATTTGAGAAAGACCACTTAAACTCCACACTTCTCTCTTTTCCTTCTGCTGACACCTCTGCAGTACAAACTGTCAACAGATTTTGGGAAAAAAAAAAAAGCAGTTTCTGCAAATTCCGCTCCATCCCTTACAACACACACAGAAACACAGCTCTCAAACTGAAGAGTAAGAAAACTACCAGTCCTTGTCTCTCAGGAGAGTACCCGCAGAACATGAGCTGCTGCGACTTGACATTGCTGTTATTTCAAAGATAAAAAGTAAAGTAGGAAATAAACCTTTCAACCTCTTCCACCCAGTTCTCTCAGGTATTTCTATCCTGACACATGATAAAGAATCAAAACCAGACAAACACACACATATGTATATATAAATGTATATGTGTGCGCATATATGCATGTGCATGCACCTCCTCTCCCACCCTGCTATTTTATAAGTCATAATTTACGGCAGTGTATGTATAACATATGGTTAGAATTGTGATTTAAGCAAAAATGTCATGCATAGACCTAGATGCAAGCCCTTCTGGCTCTAATGGATGAAGACTACTCTTGGTGAGGGGAGGGCAAGGGGGAAGAACAGTGTGTGATAAGGTATGTCTGTGGCAGAGGAGGAGAGTCGATGAGAGCAGAAGAAAGGAAGCAAGGTTATGCTATGAAAGCAAGTTTCATCTTCCAAGGGAAAAAAAATTCTTATCATCTTCAAGGACAGCTTTTCACAGCTGCCACCACATGAAGCTGTGTGCAGTGAAGAAGGCATGAGGGGTACAATAAATACAAACAGAACTGGAAAGGCTGGACTTCCTAGTACAGGGAATCTGAGGCAGTTGAGACAAGCTCACACTCATTTAAATGCCTTTTATCATATATTAGCAAAGGCTGCAACAGTTGTGTATGAAGAAAAAAGCTGGCCTCATTTTCAGAAAAAATGACCTTTGTAGGTGCTGAGCACCCACAAAACATTAAGCAAATGTTCTCTGCTTGCAATCTGGGTTAGATACCTCATAATAGTATATAGGGCGTGAGAGCGTCACCCAGGGTTATGGAAAGGGGAACGTACACAAAGTGATTATAGGATTATTCAGTAGTCTGTGGTGCTGCTTCTGTCTCTCTAAGCACTTACCCTGCACTTCTCATCCTCACGTCTCATCATCTCCATGTTGTGTCAGTTGTTATTGTTAATTATAGATAATTAGAAGGTGAGCTTGGGAGAGTGCATCATGGCTTGGGGGGTATGTGGGAGCAGGCTGGCTTCTAGAGAGGGCCTGGAGGAGACACAAGAGCTGGTCACTCTGAGGAAAAAGGGAAGGGGCTATGGAGCAGAGAGCCAGGGTGGGAGCCGTGCAAGCAGCCAAGGCACAGGCAAAGAGTGAAGTGATGGAAGCAAAGCTGGTGAAAGGACAGAGAAAACAGGGAGGGAGGGGATCAAGTTCAAAACCCCAGAAAAGCCAGAGCCCAAGCACACAAAATGGAGGTGGTACCTGAGGGCAGCCACTCGTTCTGACTTATTAGCAGCCCTTACACACCTGGTGCCAGGATAGCCACACGTGTGATACTCAAGCAGGTCACACAGAGGATTAGCAGTGGAAAAAAGAAGTCAGGAGGTGCAGGCTGCGTGCAGGAGGAGGCCCCAAAAGAAGCAGAAGGGCCTGGGGACCTGCTGCTCCACTGCTGCAGAGAGCCTCAAACACTTCCTGTCTACATTAAGCATCTCTGAGGAAAATTCTGCAAAAAAATCTCACGTTTTCAGTAAAACATAGCATTAACACCAATTCAGTTACAATAAAGGTGCCGGTTTGGGGGAACCAGTGTCACAAGGCAAAGAATTACCCTTCTGAGGTAAGCGGTTACCTCCTGCTGGTGGCCTCTGGAGCATGTGAAATGAGTTGGTGATTCCTGCTCATACTGAGCATTACAAAAATCTTTGCTGCTAATTACAAGCCATTTGCACTAATTGGTATCCTTGCTGGAGATCTTCAGAGGGAAGACTAATGACTAAACACAGGCAAGGCAACTAAAGCCCCCTGTTACCAGCGGGCTCAGGGCCTCTGCAGGGTGCGTAATGTGGGATATTGCGACTGCTGCCCGAGATGTGTCTGATAGGGGTGGCCTTTTGGGGACTGACCTTGATTTTCTGATCTACAGCCTTCAGGAGTAGTGGGGCCTTGTGGCTTTTGTATGTTCAGTACTGCTGTCTACAGTGGAATGAGCTACCAGTCTGCAAGTATTTTCCTCTCTGGCTTTACTCTGCATCATGCAACATTCCTGTGACTGGACAAATAGGGGAAAAAAAACATTAGCTAATGCAAGGAATAACAACAGCAAATGTACTGTGCAGCAGGAGCCTCAGTGCTTCCTATGTACCTAGATACTGTATTTGCCATACAGAGTGCAGAGAGCCCGACACTTTTGAAGCAGACAAGCACAGCATATTACCTAGGAATAATATTGTAAGAAGGTGTGTGAACTCTGCTCCAACCTAGAAATACGGTTACCTAACAAGTGCAACAACTCAACAGCATAAAACAGTGGCATTGGCCAAAGTGTGAGTTTCTAGCATCATTGCCTCAGAGACTTGCAGCCTGTTCCAGTCGCCAAGTGTTATCTGCACCCGCTTCAAACCTGGAGCACTGAAGGTCCCTGTGGGATTGTGTTTCATACTGGGGGGTAGGGTTCTCCATTTTATATGTTTTTCCTTAATACTAATGCACTGCTACATCAAATAAGGAGCGTTAGCACCTTATTTTACAATAAGCATTAGTACTTTTATTTTGCAAAAGTGAAACAATACAGGGGTGGAGTCAATAGATCAAATTTAGAAGAAACCTTTGTATTGGTTCAGGTACTGCACAAGTTGCAGCATAGATATGATATCCTTTTCTAAAGGGAGAAGAAAAAAAAAGTATGAAGTTTTTTTTTTTTTTAATTTTGGCCAATCTCTTTCCTTGCCCATGATGAACACGTCTCAGAAATGAAAGAATGTGAAATCACTACATAATTCAGATGGAGCAGACAATCCTCATAGTCTTAAATGCTTATGGCTAAATCATGCTCGCATTGCTCACGCTAGCAATTCCACTGATACCAGGGGAATTTTTGAAATGAGAAAGGGAAGCTATATTTGTCCCTAATGATTTAATTAGGTAAGTGCATGCAGTAGCAGATCTTTTGGAATGTGATTAGGGCTAATGATTCCTAGGGGTGGCTAAGAGTCGTTCTGAAAAGAAAGGACACAAAATCCTTTCTTATGAGGGACTCCCCAACATAGTCTATATATTGCAGTTGCCACCGGCAGCTACTGTCCTCTGCAAAAATTTCTGATTTCAGGAAATCTTCAAACAGGCCCAGGGGGCTGAGTTCTCCTGTTGCAGCTCTGGTGACTAATTACAGCCATAGAATAGTTGTTGTGTAATATGACAGTGAGGAATGACAGAAGGAACAACAATAAGATTATGTGGTCACTCAGCAAGGGATGGTGCTTGGTACAATGCAGTTAAGGGAGGGTTGTTTGTTGTTTTATTTCCAATTAGAGTGGATGTCATATTTGGTTAATGTTATTAGTAGTATATGTGGAAGCAGTGTATCTGGGGGATGGACCAAGGAGAATTCAGGACACTGAACTTGCAGAACAGCTCAGGACAGGTGTACTGTGCAGAGAGCATGGTATGGAGAAATCACAGAGATTGTTGCTAGACAGAAATACTGCTATTGCTATCATTGGCAGAGCTGGGGACACAGCCCCTGTCCTGTTGGCTTGCTCACCTGAGTAACAGAAAATAGCGAGGTGGGGATATGTCCTGATCTAACAATACTCAGATAAGCGAGCCATTCACCTAAATAAAAGCATGATCAAGGCCAGAAACATGACTTGTGGAAAAATGTCTCCACTGGCAAAGCAGGCTGGCTTGGAGCTTGCTCTTCCTAGCTCTTGTCCTCATAGCTGTTTTCCCTAAAATGGCCAGAAAAGGACAGTTTGGGCATGAAATAGGTACATGACTTGCAGAGAGAGCAGGCTTACATTCAAGCATCTTGTAATGGGCAGAAGTGATCACATCTATGGTGCCTATCTGCATAAACATATCCTGAATGTACCTCTAGTTCTCAAGTCTTCAGTTCTGGATCTAAAGTATTTTCAGATAGCATTTATGTTTGCAGAAAATTGCAGGTAATTCTAAATATGTGTTCCCTCCCCACCTGGGAGGATGCTTTAAAGAATTCCCCCAGTTAGCATTGAATATGCAGTGGTGGGCTCCAGAGTGAGTATTCCAGGCTTGCAAGTGAAATGCTAGTTTCTGATCATGTTACTTGTGTTGGAACTGTCTCTCTCAAGAGAACTGCCACAAAACCTGCCATCTCCTGTGGAGCCCAAGACTGGCCTTTTTGTGAACCACAGAAAGTACTGACAGCTGCTTGTAATCATTTTTTTTTTCTCTCATGGATATTCTCAGCTTTTGCTAATCTTCTAATTTGTTTTTATTATTATTTTTATTTTCCAGAATGAAAAGCTGATGTGAAGGGCTTTCCAACTCACACAGAGCATAGGTGTCCAAAATGTCTGGTAAGAAGTTTCTTCTGGTCATACAAATTCATACTGAGAAGGTTCAAACCTGCCCATGTGCTCATCTCCTTAAGGCCAGTCTGTGCTGGATCTTGTGCTAGATCTTCTGGCTCTCTATTCAAAGTCCTCTGGGATACTGTGTTCTTTCCAGTGTCAAATTAGATGGAAGCTGCCTGTCTGAACATGGCCCGAATTCCTTTTTCCTTGCAAGGTGCATTATCATACTAAAAGAAATTTAGAAATTTGATTTAAAAAGAGAGAGAAAGTACATCTTTTTTTTTTTTTATCAGAACTGTTAAACATTTACAAGAGTTGAGATGTGAGTCCGTATGAACAAAACATACTACACTGTATACACAGAACAAGTCTGACTCTTTGGATTCATTGTATGGGTATTTTCCAAGAAAATGTGGGATACCAAACACTGGGAATAGTAGCTAGTTACTACAAAAATATGAGAAAATTGTCCCCTCTCTCTTTTTTTTTTTTTTTTTTTTATATATGTGAGGTGGGACCTAGTCATGTTGCTGGAGAGGACAACCTTGCCAACATGGCTGGCGGCCCTTCTGTCTGTGCTTCTTTGCCAGCTCTGGTTCTCTCACCGTCTTAACTGATTCTTGCTTTATTGGTTTGTCCTTTGGTCTTTATAGTTTGCTCACAGAAAACTTGCATGTGGTAGTTCTGATGCCTTTGGTTTCCCCTACATCTGACCTTGCTGGAACCCCTTAGAAAATATTGGATTTGTTTGCCTATCAATCACACAGTCTTATTAATTTCTGATTTGCTGGTATTAGAAGTGGAACTGCATCCATTAAACAATGTTGCTTATATGTCACTATGTGTGGCAAAATATGAAGTTACCACAAAACAACTAATCATCTCATTTATTACAGGAAAAAGTGGTCCCACTCAAACCAGAGATTAGTATTGCTACTCCTTAAAGTGAAGAGTTCATGTTTTATCTGGGTTAAAAGGAAGATAGATAGTTTTTTCAGAGAATGAATGCACAATTCTGGATTTGTTAAGAAATGTAATTGAGCAAACAAAATTGAGAGACCCAAATTTATTATTTTCTTCTGAAAATATGAGCCTGTTGTTATTATGCTACAAGATAATTGAATACTTCTTATAACACATTGTTCTGCTTATCTGCAGCTACTCAGCTAGAAGACTCAGCTTTTACATGTTAAATATTTCCCATTTGCTTTTTGTGGTTTACACTTCTACTCTCTTTTCTGAATTAATTTTGGATTGAAATTGACTCTGCTAAAATCTACTTAACCGATTTCTCTATCACAGTTTTCATTCTCTCACACAAAATACAACATAATTTATTTTTTTAATTACCCCATGAATGAGCAAGAAGAATTAATGCTACACTCAGAAAATCTTAAATCTTCTATTCACCTTCTATTTGTGTGGATCTACAAAAATAGATTGTTTCTGAAAAAACAGTAATTAATTCCCTGATACTATATGGCCTAGTAAAACTGAAGTGTTGAATTCTGCCATCTTTCTCAGCTTGAGGCAAGCCAGTTTTGTTTAGGAATGCTTGGCCAGGTTCTACACGATGG